TTATTAATGCATACGATATCGAAGATAATATTTCATTTTTTTATTTTTAAAGTATTTTAAGTATTTTTCAAAAGATATGAGGAATTTATGTGAATCTAGTAATATGTACCGCAAGATTTTAGCTTGTCCCTATTAATGGCCCTATTAATGTATTGGAGCTGAGAATGTTGTGTTATAAGTGTACATTGAAATATACTTAAACAATTAATTTAAATTTATTACCTATTTTAGGTTTTAGTAACTATATGTTAAAACGAGTCAAATGTGGGTAGGCACACAAATTGGGGCACATTAATAGGGCCATCGCCGCTTGGAGGATTCATTGACAGGGACAAAAACATATTTTTTATTTTTGTCAAAAACATAAAATATTAACATTTTTTAGATTAAAGAAATATTATAAGAAAAAGAAATAATTGAAAAACCCATGTTGATTGCAAGCAGATAAAATTAAAGCTAAAATATTTAATAATTAATTCAGTAATAAGCAAGTTGACTAAAAGGCACATTAATAGGGACGTCTTCTCGCCGTCGGCACCCCGAGAGTGAACGAGACAGCGAGCTCTTTTTCACACTAGTCGCTTGTTTCAAGTGTTACGTCCGAGGTTCCGCACGCATAGAACCTGAGGGGGTGAACGTAACGGGGTACTTGTCTACTGTCGTTGTCGGATCCTAGCTCTGGACCGCAAGGGAGCGAGGCGGGAGAACCGACTCGGACGGGAGGCACTTTGTTTCGTCCTTAGGCTCTCGAAGAGCCGGGGGTCTGAAGGGGGACGAAGTGGAAGCCTCGCTCGAGGTCGTCGCTCCGCTGAGCGGCTCCCCGAGGCGGACGCACACGCTAAAGGCCGGGAAATGGGTCAGTGTGCCTTATGCCCGTGTCACACTACGGATTGCGAACGCGGATCGGATTGGGATTGCGGATCATCGGATTTGGATTCTTCGTTCACACTACGGACTATGGTACGGACTACGGATTCAATTTGCAACATATGCTGTATCGCAAATGTCGTGTCGTTGACGTTTGCTGTGTACATTCTGTCTCGATAAAACGGTTTTAAAAGTTGCGTCCCGAAATTTGGGACCCATTGTATGAGTTATGATGAGCACAGATAACCTAACCACACAAACGATGCTTATTCATCCATCATAAATGGGTCACGTGACCAAACTCGATGTTTTATTGGCTTAGGATTACGATTACGGATCGCAAAAATAGAGAGCCGTCTATTCTGTAATCTACAATCCGGATCCGAAACTGCCTTGTCTTGATCGGCTGAGTTCCGATCCGCGATCCGCAATCCCAATCCGATCCGCGTTCGCAATCCGTTGTGTGTCACGGGCATTAGGGGCGCACTTCTATCCCATATGGGCCAGTACGTCCGAATGCCCTTGTTTTCGGCCTTGGAAATGAATCCAAAGGGCCGGGGATAGGACCGAGT